GGCAAGGTCCCGGGCAGAGATGGCATGGAGGCAGGAGAGGGGAGAAGAGGACACGACCCCAGAGCACAGGCAGGGATACCTGCGGAGGGAGGAAGGACCCTAAGACAAAGAGATGGGTGCTGCCTCGAGAGGGTTGGGGTGGCGGGAGTGCTCATCCAGCAGTCAGAGAAAGAGAAAGCTAATGGGTTTTCTTTTGTTTTTAAAGATCCACGAAGTGAGGAGAGGAAATAAATATTTAATGGCTTCCCATCTCTTGCCAAGTAAAAGTAGAAGATATTGCAGATATTGCAGTAGCCTAAGCAACCACGTCACCAACTTGCGCTCACCTTTTACTCTGCCCCAGCCCCACTGGCCACCTTGTTGTTCCTGGAACTTGTAGACACCCTCCCGCCTCAGGGCCTTTGCACATGCTGTTCCCTCTGCCTGGAAGCTTTTCCCCAATGTGGCCACAATGCCTTGTCTCATTCAAGTTCTTACTCAGATGTCACGTTCTCAAGCGGGCTTTCCCTGACCCCTTCTCCCCCTACCCCATATGCACTTTCTCCACTTTATATGTTTTCTGGTGTTATCTTTTCTCTAGCATTTTTCACCTTCTAATATACTTCTAATGGTAATTACTGTATAAATTATTATTGTCCTTGTTATTTGCTCTCTTCACCAGAATGTGACTTCCATGAGGACAGGATTTTATCTGTTTTATTCACTACCCTCACCAGAAACTAGAACAGTCGGCAGTCAATACATCTTTGCTGAACCAATGAATGAATGAATGAATGAAGGGGCAGAGCCTGAAACGGAGCCCACGTCTTCCAGATTCCCAACTTCCCTCCACTAAGCCTGTGTCTAAGTGCAGCTGCTGAGGGTCTGGGCCTGAGAGAGAAGGGAGGCTGCCGGCCTTCCTGGAGGCCAGCTCTCGGGGGATGCTCGCGCTCTCAGGACCGCACGGGCCCGGTGTCTCCGCAAAGCCTCGGCCCCCGGCTTCCTCTCCAAGGCGGGCGTTCGGTCCTCCCTCGGGGGAGCGACGCCGGAACCGCCAGAGGACGAGCAGGAATTTCTGAAATCCGGGCCGGCGGAGCGCTAATAGGCACCTTCGCGCCGCCGGCGGCACCGCCCGGCCCTAAATCACGGCCGCGGCCCCTCCTCCCCGCGCGCTCCCGGGCGGGGGCGGGGGCGGAGCGAAGCGGGAGGGGCGGGCGGCGGCGCAGGTGCCGCGGAAGTGCCGGCCCGCGGGGGCCTTTGAAGCTGGCCCGCGGTCCCCGCGCCCCCCGCGCCCCCCGCGATCGCAGCCGGGATCCCACTGACACCCCTCGGATTCCCGGAATGCGCGGGAAGGGGCCGAGCGGGGCGGGGGGCGCTTCCCTCTGGGAGCACCCGCGATTTGTCAAAGAGTGTGGCCTGCGAATTATTAATTTGGGGCCGTGAGCCATTTCCTGACATGGGCGGGTAAGGGCGTGGGAGCCGGCCTGGAACAGTATGAAACGCGGAAAGGAAAAGCCAGAAGTGTTTGGGGTGATGGCAGGGGAGGGTAGGCCTCCTCCCAGCAGTGGGAAACTTGTGCTGTTTGGGCATTTTCCTTGCTTTTGCTAACCTCATTTTAATTTGAATTTGAGGGTTCGTGGTAGGGGGGCAGCAGAGAAAGCAGGGGTTCAATCTCATTTTTTTTCGCTTGCTGATTTTCTATGACTATTTTGTTCCTTTTGAGCCCCACAGTTGTCATCGCGATGAATTTTCCCCTCTTATCCAACATATGGGTAGTGATGTTCTAAAGTTAATATGAGAGAAGAAAATTGTGTGCAGTCAAAATTATCCTTGAGTAAGATTTAAATTGCAGTATACAAGGCATTCTGTATGTAACCCGGAGCAGTCATTCTTATGCAAGCTGAAACTTAATAACCACTGAGCTGGGCTCTGGAGGAACAAAGATACATCTTTCTGAACATTCGAACCACTTTGCTGTTAAGACTGAATTTTGAATTCGATAGACCTGGGTGGGGTCGGAGAAGTTTTAAAATGCCACTGCAACCACACTTTGAGAACAACACCTTTGACAACTGTCAAACTACCCCCCACCCCCCCCACCCCACCGCCACCCCCCGGGTGGCGGTGGGGTGGGTGGGGAATTCTGAAGATTTCTATTTGGCTGCAAGGTTTACTTCCTTCTATTTTAATATTGAAGCTCTGTAGACTTAACTTAATACACGTGTTTGTGGCTGTTGACGCATGTGAAAGCCTATAGCACCGGGCCTGGTATTTAATAGATGATCAATATATGTTGACTGGATTTGAATATAGAGCTTATTTCATCAGACTGGTGTGGAACTTCCAGAATTTCATGAACGTCTTCACGTCAGGGATTGTGCCATTGATTCAACATTCAGCGAATATTTCCTTGTACCTACTAGGTACCAGGCACTGTGCTGGGACCCTCCCCTCCCGACCTCCCCCTGTCCAAGTTTTCCCTGTGTCAGCCAGGTTCTCTTTATTCTTCACACTCGGTTGAAACCATCTGAATATCTTACTGACTTTTGTATCAAAGGGCAGAGGCCAGGCTCTCAGACCCACAGGTGGTCAGTGGGGCTGTTGGTATTGGGGGGTGGGGGAGAGCCCGCTGAGTCGAGCATGCAAGCACAGCCCAGAGTTAAGAGCTTGGTGCTCTAACAGGAGCCACACCACCTGGTTTGAAATCCTGGCCCAGCAACAGCTCAGCCCTCTGACTTGGGGCAAGTTACTCAACTCTCTGAGTCTCGGTTTCCAGTCTGTAAAATGGGCATTATAATAGTGGGGCCTTCTGTATAGGATTGTTGGGAGGCTAAGATAATGTATGTTAACAAAAGCACTTAGCACCATGCCTGGCTTATAATAAGCACTCCATAGAAGCCAGTAGCAATAGCATTAAGATGATTTTTGTTATTATTACTAATTATGACCAAGCAGCATCCTGCCCATGGCGGACTGTGAGCCCTCACTACAGGAAGGAAAGGTGCTGGAAGCCGTTTAATCTTGTTAACACCCGACCAGCACCCTCCCCTCAGCTCCTGCTCTGCCCCAGGCAGATTCTCCCCTTCGTGAGGCCGCCTGGGGGTCAATGGGAAGGGAAGGCCTCCTTGGATGGGTCGTCTCCATCCTTCGTGGAGATGCGGGTGCTCTGGGCTTGCCCATCTATTTCCTCCGGATCATGGGTCGTGGACTTCCCGGGAACACCGCAGGGGAGGGAAAGCCTGTTAATAACCACACTCAAGTTGAGGTAACCCTTCAGAGAACCAGATGCAGTATTTCTTGAGGCCCACTCTGCACCAGGTTCCATTCCATTGTGTCCTCTGAGGCTGGCGTCACTCCCATTTTGCAGGTAGACAACTGAGGTTCACAGCTTTTCCCAAGGTCTTCATGAAAGTGGCAAATATCAGAGGAGTTTAGATCCAAAGCTTCTGTTTGTGACCCTTGCACTGCTCTGTCCTACACTCAGGGCCAGCTTCACAGGTGTGGGACCTGTGCAGCAGCACAGGCCCCAAGCCTAGAAGGCCCCAAGCTCAGTTTGATGCTCTGCTGTCACCACCTTCAAATTCTTAATAATTTGGAGCGAAAAGCCCCACATTTTCGTTTTGCACCGGCTTCTGCAAATTATGTAGCCGGTCCTGCCTACTCTCTTTTGTATCGAGGATGTCTTCAGTGCAAAGGAAAGGAAACTGAAGTGCAGACAGAGGGACATGACTGGCACAAGGCCATGTAGCAAGCTGGTGGCAGAACTAGAACCAGGTCTCTTGAGCCCCTGTCCAGTGGAATTCTCTGGAAACACTCATGTGTCCAACTGTGCCCTCGATGGGGAAAGCTTCGGAAGGAGCCAGTGGCTGGGCATGGGTGGGGGTGGGGGTTGGGAAGAGCTCCCACCCACCAAACCACCTCTCCCCCGTGGCCCTTCTGGGACTGCAAGGTCCACCTGCTCCCTCCTGGTCTGCCCACCTTTGACCCCAGGGCCCGGCTTTCCTAAATGGCTGAGCGAGGCTGATGAGCAGGGCAGTGACTCAGCTCTCTCTAGCATGGCACTGAGGGGCTAAGTGACATGGGATGGGGTGGAAGCACAGGTGGCTGTGGACTGCGACACTCAGGAGCTGGACTGTCTGCTCTTTGACCTAATTCCTTGCCCCTCGTCTGAGACCCAGTGAGACTGACATCCTGCAACTCGAGCTGGGTGGGTGGACACGAGCGCTCAGACATCTTGACCCATGCTCTGTGTAGAATCCTGCTGGAGGCATGCAATCTGTGTGACTGTGTGTGTGTCTGTATGTTGTGGGGACGATGGAAAACGGATTGAGTAGAGAGAAAACATCCAGTCCTAGCTGCTTCCTTTCACTTTTTAATTTCCTAGATACTGCAGATTTGGGGACGAGAGCCCCAGAAATACAAATGTCCTTAGGATGCTTTACAGTCTAGTGGGCAAGACAGACAATAAAACAAATAATCACACAAATGAATACCTATACTTGTTTCCTAGCGCCCTGTTCTTTTTCTCCATGGAGCACTTTATAGTTTGAAATAATGGGGTTATTTGTATACTCTTTGGCAAGATGGACACGAACTCCATACCCATCCCAGCGGACGCCCCAGAAGGCCTTGGCTGTTTGGAAGCATTCAGATTGTGGCTGGGAGTGAGACTGACGTCTGTGCTCCAAATAAGTCTCTGTGGACGCCTGAAGTTTCACTGGGGGGCTTTCTCTAGGATTAAGCAGTATTCCTTTTCTGAGACCCTGTTTAAAATTCAAATCCTTGTGGATGGGGATGGTGGGTGGGTTCACTGAGTTCATAACATGGCAGGGCTGTCTCATGAGACAGGGCTGCCCAAAGGTCTTGGACCCCAAAAGACACTCCTGATGGGTACCACGAGGGGAGCCAGAGGGCCACAAGATGATCTCCATCATCCTCTGCTGCTGACTCAGCCCAGCTCTGTCTGCAGAAAGAGGAGCCGGAGGGAGGTAGGGGAGAGGAAGGCCCAGTCAAAACCCAAACCCGGAATCCTAGCGGCCTTTCTGGTAGCTGACGAAGCTGAAGCTCCAGGTCTGTCTTACCTGCAGGGCCCTGCCTGTCACCTCTGCTCCTCCCTCATCCATCCTGCTTTCCTCAGTGACAGCTCTGTGGTTGCCCACAGGACTTGACAAGAACTTTCCAGGTTCTTGAAACTCAGCTACCATCTCCACAACCTTTCTGCGTGCCTATCAGCTCCCCTGCCCAGAGGCCAAACTCGGCAGTCTCTTTGGGGTTAGAGGAAGAATGTGGAACCCAGCCACCCCAGAGAGGCCTGGAGTAGGCAGAGCAAGTTCTGCCTGGCTGCTGGAGCACTGCCCCGGGCGTGGCCGGGCTGCCCGTCTGGTCCCCTCGCACAAGAATCTGCATGCTTCTTCCCTTCCCTGCTTCCTTCCTCTTGTTCCTCCCTCGCCAACCTACCTGGAGGCAGGTAATAAAGCAAGAGGAGGGAGATGGATGGATGGGGAGGGCAGAGAGCCACGTGGTGCCATAAAGCCCAGCTATTGAGGGGGCCGTCTGGGGAGTGTCCAGCCTGCAGGAGTCAACGCTCAGAAGGTGGACTGTCAGCCTTGTGAGCCGGAGCTGGAGCATCAAGGCCCGGGAGGAGGCCATGCACCGAGGCACACCAGGACCAGGCCTCAAAGGCCTGAAGGGGGCCGAATGCTCCGCTGAAGACTTGGGGGACTCTTGCCTGGAGGCCGGGAGAGATTTCGGGGTGCTGAGAGAGAACGGCGCGCCCCGCGGCCTGGGCGAGGCAGAGGAGGTGGCGAGCAGCAGAAAGCGCGCGCGGCCGGTGCGGTCCAAGGCTCGGCGCATGGCGGCCAACGTGCGGGAGCGCAAGCGCATCCTGGACTATAACGAAGCTTTTAACGCGCTGCGCCGGGCGCTGCGGCACGACTTGGGCGGCAAGAGGCTCTCCAAGATCGCCACGCTGCGCAGGGCCATCCACCGCATCACGGCGCTCTCCCTCGTCCTGCGCGCCAGCCCCGCGCCCTGCTGGCCCTGCGGACACCTGGAGTGCCACAGCCAGGGCGCGCGCGCCGAGGGCGCGGGGGATGCGGGTTCCAGCTCGCCGCGGCCCATGCCGCTGCCCGCCGGGCCCAGCCTTGCGCGCCGGGACCCCTCCGGCCCTTTCGTGCCGCGCTGCGCCTCGTGCTCCCCGCACACGCTCCTGGGACAGCCCAGGGCGGTGGGCGAGGCTCAGGGCTTGGCCCAGACCTCCCCCGGAAATTGGCGCCGGTGTCCGGGGGCTCCCTGTGCCTGGCCGCGGGGATACCTGTGAGCAGGCCCTGGCCTGGGCTCCCAGCACTCCTGACCTGGCCACCGAGCGCACCCGCGAGCCTCGAGGGAGGCCGGCTTGGGAGGAGCCAATGGCAGGATGCCTACAAAAGAGAAGACTGCGGAAAAACGTCCCTAGCTGAGCAAAACTGAATGGGCTGAGGCCTGAGGGAGAAAGGAAGCAGCCTTGGCAGTAGGAAGGAACTCCGGAGCCAGGGGCAGCACTCCCTAGCCCCCCACAATCCGAAATAGAGGCGGCAGCTCCGAGAACGGAGCGGGACCCTCCTGGGCTTTCATAGGATTGGACTTGATGAACGCTTCTTGGAAAGTGACCTTTGCATTCTTGCGCCTTTGAGTCCTATTTTCTCTTGCTGCTTTTTAGGAGAATGGGGGCTTTTGGACAAGGGGACTTGTGTGTATGGGAGTGTGGGTGGCCCCTGGTGCGATGTGATGGCACAGTGTGGGGTCCCTGCCTGTGCTGATGCCCCAAGTCTGTGATTTGGGAGGGGCAATCAGAAGCAGCTAAAATAAAAAAGAAAACCTATCATGTCTCTCTGCTCCAAGGACTCCACCGGGCTCAGTGGCCCAGGGTGGCAAGAAGGTCTGCTGGGTTGGGGCCTGGGGCTCATCCTGAAAGGCTGGGCCCAGGCCTGGAGCCCACAGGTAGGTACTTGGGGGCTCTGGTTCATGGCAAGACCCCAGGTATGGCTGAGCACTGTGAGGGGCGCTGTGGGAGGGGACATTATTTGGAGAGGAAGTGCTGAGCCGGGAGACTAAGGATGTGGTCAGCCTCATCTCTAGACCCCCTGCAGAACTGCTGTCTGTGGTGAGCCACAGAGAGGGTGGCAATGAAAGCAGAGTCAGGGCTAGTCTCAGAGAAGGAAGCTGAGGGCAGGGCCTAAGATTCGGGGCCAGTAATTCTTGCCTGTATCTCGAGTGATGGGTTCATGGAGCTCCTAGAGAAGAGTGGGCCACTGTAGCCAGGGTCTCTGTCATGAGGGGCAGACTTGGAATCCAGGAAAGAGTGTGAAGAGGGGATTGAGGAAAGTGGGGCCTTGGGCCAAGGCTGCTGAGGAAGTGGGAGGCACAGCCAGCCCCCGGAGAAGTCTGGAGAGCTGCTCTGCATCAAAGATGAGCACGCCTGAGCTGGTGTCTGGCCTCACTCGGGCTGACCGGGCTGATGTTGTAGGTGCTGCTTTCTGGGGTGAGGACCCAGATGTGCCAGGAGAGGGCTGAGGGCTCTCTGATCTCCTTAGAGAGCTGCGCTCTTCACAGCTTGGGGAAAAGTTACACAGCTCAGAACAGAGGACCCCACAGAAGCTGGAGAGACACCCATAGACGCCCAGGAGAAGTGAGGGGTCCCCAGAACAGTCGAGGTGAGGCTCACCACCGTAATTAAAGATGTCTTTGCTTTCTGCAAGCAAGACACTGGCTGGCACACTTGGCATCCTGTCCCCAGCCCACAGGCCTTAGGGCTCCCCATTTCACAGGGCAGGTGGCTGTGACACAGATCACAGGAAAGCTTTGACTCTGGTGCAGTTGGGTCATTGGGTCCAGCCGGGAGCAAAACATGGGACTCTGGCCCCTGGCCTGCGCACTGAGCTCTCTTTCTCATGGAGAGGCAGTGCCACAGTCTGACAGTGGAAAGGAAAGAGCTGGACCAGCCTGGGACCCAGTCTCTGTTCTGCCACTTACCACATGTGCGACCCATGGCGTCACTTAACCTCTCTAAGCCTGCAGTTCCTCACCTCTGACACAGACAATTCCACCTCAGGGTGGCTGTGAGCATTAAGATTCGTTCATAATGTACAGTTTCCGGCAATTAGGTGTTCCGCAAATTGTTACTCTTCCTATATTATTGTAATTTTATGACAGACCAGCCTGGACAGTGCTTCTGCCTTGCTTCAGCCTCAGGTTTTTATTCTCTGGAAACATGATAAAATGACCAGCAAGTCCTGCTTTCCTAAGTTCCAAGATGGAAAGAAACAGAATTCTTCCCGCCCAGTTGCGCGCCCTGCACAGGAGTGGTGAGGGTGCCCCCTGCAGGTGGAAGCGTGAGTGTGCAGGGCCTGCCAGGTCAGCTGGAGGGATGGGAGAGTATGTGTCCCCTCACTTACCACCTAGGGAACCTTGGCAAATCTCCGAGCGGCTTTGAGCCTTGGTGTTCCCATCTGTAGAATGGGCTAAAATTAGTACTTACATCATGGGCTAGATGATGCATTTAAAGCGTAGTGCCTGGCTCACGCCAGCTCTCCCTAAGTGGAAGCTATTAAGACATATTCTAGTCACAAGGTTGTCAGAAGGAGAGAATGCAAGGGAAGGTGTTTTATAAACCAAAGTCCACAACACATTTGTTATTATCATTGTTTTATCAGGGCTATTTGTTTGAGTGCACACGTCTGTATATTTGCATTATGATATGTATTTGTCCAGCATTCTGAGATTTTTTGACATGCACGCATTGCATGCATACTTGTATAGATGTGTGAATGTGTGAATGTTTGTGGGTGCATACATGTGTACATACATGCGTGTAACAGGTACCCCCTCCTCCTGCTGATTCTTTAGGTGATCCTAGGCCAGAATACTTTTAATTATGTGCTTTCCAGTTTTCCTGGAACGCTTCCTTGACATTTTTATCTGCTTCTGAAGACCATACCTGTTCTCTAAGATGGCTGATTTGCAGTGGAGAAAAGATAAACCTGTGATTATTAAAGAAATGGAAGTTATCAACCGAGACCAGGTAGATTTGTCCAAGTATAGAGAAAAGTAGTTAGTATAAGGATAAGTATTAAACGAATATAAAAAGGAAAGTACTAGAAAGAGAAAATACATATGTAAGACAGAGCTGCTAAAACTTATGGCCAAAAGGTACGAAGGACTGATATATATAAAGACAGAAATTATCTATCTATCGGGTTAGTACCAACAGTCCACTCACATAGTGTTCAAAGGAGAGAGAGAGTTAACATGTAAAGGGCAGGGAGCAGTAACGATCCCAGAACCTTTGCCCAGGGCTCTCCTACACTCGGCCTCTTGGCCTCTCTTAGGAGGTCTGTGCCTTCCCACTCCCCACTCTTGTTCTCTCTGCCTCCCCCACAGGGAACAGGACCTCACCTCTTTAGCAATGAATGAGACATACTAATAAATATAAAAACAAATAGCAACTGTAAGACCCAATGTCGTCAGGGATGTGGAGACAAGGGCACATCGACAGATTTCTGGTTGTACTGTGTACCTGTCCCTTTTTGGTAGAGAACAATTTGGCAAAATCACAATAAAAATATTCCATGGGAGGAGTCCAAAAGGAAAAACAAATTTGCAAAAAGATGGTCCCAGCAGCACTGTACACAACAGTGAAAGATTTGAAACAGCACAAATGCCCAACCCCAGAGGCCTGGCAAAGCAAACTGTGGGATTCCAATGGAATGAAAATAATGGCGAGTTAGAAGAGCAGATCACAAAATGGTCTGCGCCCACTGATTCTAACCGTAGACAAACGTATGGGTGGGTGAACGGACCTACGGAGAATTGGAGGGATGTAAACAGGGTTAATATCTGTTAGGTTCTTCATAATTGTTTTTTAAAGGTGAAAGATTTGTCTCCTTAGGGCACCTTCAAAGATGAACAGGGAAATGTTTGAGCAAGGACAGCAAGGACCAAGCGTCTTGAGTGGATTCCTTTGGAGGGACCCCACCTCGCTGGATGTGAAACTAGGGTGCTTGCTGATGGGCACACGATCACATCGTTTCCCTCACACTTTGCACGTGTGTGTGTGTGTGTGTGTGTGCGCAGACACCTGAAGGCTGCTGTTACCCCTGGAGCAGGTGGGCCGGGCCCAGGAACGCCTCAGTGAGGAGAGGAATTTGCTTAATTACTTCTGCCTCGTTAGCCCCCGTAGGGTTTCCTGGCACCCTGACCCGGAAGGTAAAAGAGCTGTGGGGCATAAGGGGCTTGTTACCTGTCCCCCTTGGACTAGGCTCCAGTTTACCCACCCTTCTGAGGTTTGCTTCCCTGCCCACTCCACTCCTCAAAGGACACCCCCAGTACGCAGGTCCACTTTCCCCTCCACTGTTTACATCTCAGCATCCTTCGTGCTCAGGATGCGCTAAGGTTGGGGGCCGGCGGAGGTGGAATTAGCGTCGGTGTGGACGCGCCCTGGGTGCTTGGTTGGTGCTTCATCTTCCTCTGGTTCATCCAGCCATTCTCAACCACCTGCCAGGCACTGGGCTAGGGAGCTATGGGTATGCCTGCCCCCTCCAGGACCTCACAGTCCAGTGGGGAAGGTGGAAAGAGAGGGGGTGACTTTCTTCGGTTCTCTGTGTCCACACCAGAGAGCAGCAAGGCCAGCCAGCTGTGGAACAGGAAGGCCAATCCATCTGTCTAGCTGCAGGGCCTCACGGCTCAGACCCCTGAGGCAGGCAGGCCCTGTGATGGTGGAGGAGGAGGCAGAGCTCAGCGACCCGCTCTGAAGGCTGCAGCTGGCCCGGCTGCTTGCTGCTCTGCGGAAAATGGGCCCAGGGTTCCCAGATCTTCATGTTAAATGTCTGAAACCCCAATTTTTATGTGAAATGGATTTCTAAAAAAATACGTGTTGGGTCAACCCTGTGCAGGCCAAACTCACTTTGTATGATGGGTATGGCCCAGGGGCCTCCATTTAAGACCTCAAGTGGGGAGGCAGCACATGCAGGTTGGAGCAGAAGCAGCTGGCTGGGTAGGCTGAGCAGCCCTGGAGCCCAAATAGGATGCTTCTCCCCACTTGTCCCTGCTCCCCCAGTCCCCTCTCCCACTTCCGCTCATTCCCCTTATCACCATCAGCCGCTAGATGGCACTGTGAGCCCACTTGCAGTGGCAGAGCAAACCTAGGTCCCCAAGCCCCTGAACCCCAGCCCACCTGGTAACCTCACTGCCATGAGCCACCCTGAGGTCTTCTTTTTCTTTTCTCTTCGAGTTTTTATTAAGCCAAAAACGGTCCTTTATGTCAGGTTCATTCTGTCCTCTAGGCCAGTGCTGCCCAATAGGAGCATAATGCAAGCCACCTTTTAAATTTTGTAATTTTCTAGTAAGCACATTTTTAAAAAGTAAAAAAGACAGGTGACGTTAAGTTTAATAATGTTTTATTTAGCCCAATGTATATAAAATATCATTTCTACATGTAATCAATATGCAATGTATTTACGAGATACTTTACATTCCTTTTTTTGCACTAAGTGTTTGAAATTCGGTGTGTTTTATACTCACCGCACATCTCAGTTTGGAATAGCCACATTTCAGGGGCTCAATAGCCACAGTTGGCTAGAGGCTATGGCATAGGGCTGGGCAGCTGCAGGCCCCATGGAAGGCCTGAGTGCCCCCACCCAGCGTCAGCTTCCAGGTTGTATCAGGGAATTCTGTCCATGCTGGGTACTGACTTTGAGCGCAGGGGTCTTGGGGACCCAATTTGCCACCCTCTGCATGAGGTCTCATATTTAACAAGGCATGAGCACATTTCTGGAAGTTCCTAGGCAGGGGAGCCCAGCTCACCCCCCCCACACACACACCCTGGCCTGGG